TCTGGTGAATCTAGTCAGCCTATCTAGAAGTCTTTGTTTTAGGAGGGTCAGCAGTTCCTCATCTAACAGCAATCAGTTGTCAATATGCCTTTAGATAAGATTGGGGTCTGCTGTTCATTTTCCCAGTTCTATACTGGGTTACTATCTGGGAGTCCCTTTGGCCACCCTGGCCAACAACTCAAAAGAAGGTCTCTCCTATCTGGCATTGTTGCTTATTATGTAGCCTTTAGCTATGCATATGGACTCTTAAGAAATTATATTGGCCCCTTTAATCTTTGGTTATACTTTCCTTTTGGGTGTTTAAGGCCATACAGTTGGCCCAGATAAACCAATTTATTTTTACTCTTAAGGTCCTTTGAGGATCTGTTCCTCAGGGGTCACGTGGGCTTGGGAGGAGCCCCTGGCTCCTTTCTTTTACTAGTTCCACCTCTGTGAAGATAAGTCAAAGGTCCTGCTTGACCACGGTTGGCTTCGCTTAGAAGCATGGAGGAAGTGATTCCTCTGTGTTGACCCTCCTCTTTGTAGACTGGACACTGGTTCAAGTCCATCTGGTGGGGTCTCCTCGGCTTCCTTGATCAAGAGGACAGGTGACCCACCACCATTACAAAAAAAAAAAAATCTCATTGCTGGGCACAGTGGTGCACACCTTTAATCACAGCAGAGGCAGGAAGATCTCTGAGATTGAGGTCAGCCTGGTCCACATAGTGAGTTCCAGGCCAACTGTGGATACAGGGAGACAAACAAATAAAAAGAACAAAAAAACCTCTATGCGGTCCATTTTCTTTTTTCTACACATTCTTATGTTGGATTATCTGGTACTCTGTGATACCTTTAGGATTCATCTAACTAAATTATTTTGAGAAGCTTAAGATATAAGACATTCTAAAATGAATATTTGACCCATTATATACTATTATTTAGATATTTAAAAAGTTAGTATTTTCCCATTCTTTGAGCACTTGTGGGCTCAAAAATATAACTTTTTACAAAAAATATGTAATACATTCTAGGAAGAATGATCAACCTCCTGAAAAGGACAAAAAATAAAATAAAATAAAAGAGGAAGAAATATCAATCAAGTACCCAGGCATGACAACGCTGGTCTGTGTCAGCCAGCAGAGGAACCAACAGCACTGCAATGCAGGGCCTAATTAATGGATTGTGTGTGGCACTTCTGACCCATTTTAAGTTGAAACTCTGTGTTACAATCTCTATAATAATGGAATGTTTCTTTCTATCTTTAAGTTTTCAAAAGGTTAATGTTCTTTCTTTCCCTCATTCACACCGTCTGTAATGCTACACTTCTTATATGCATATTCATGCATCTCAGTCCCTTGGAGCTGTAGTCCTCAGAGCAGCTGTACGTTGGAAACTTTGTAAATACTGCCACCATGGCCTCCCTGGAGAGTCTGGATTCATTGGTGTGGGTGGTGTAGAAAGGCAGGGCCAGGGGCAACATGGAGTTCTTTCTTGGAGTTCTAGGTTGGAGAGCAGAATTTGTTGCTTCTGGAAGTTATGTTGCAGAGGGAATTATGGCTTACAGATTTTGGGGGGAGGGGTCTTTTTGAGACAGGGTCTCTCTGTAGCCCCAGGCCTGGAACTCATTATGTAGACCAGTCTGGCCTTGAATTCACAGAGATCTACCTGCCTCTGCCTCCTGAGTGCTGGGACTAAAGGCATGTGCCACCATGCCTGGCCCAGCTTACAATAGATAGTATATGTTAAGTATACTTTTTGGAGACTAGTCTACAACAAGAAACCATTTTTCACTGCTTTTTCTTTAAAATTGCATGTCTTTGAATCCAAACAGTGGAATTCATAGTCAGTCACTTGATAAGTATGAACCTGCCTGGAGTCTTAGAGGTCAAAATTCTAAACATATTTTTACATCAAAAGTAAGTCAGTGTTCTGTCTAGTAAAAAAAAAGAATCCATTAACAAATTTAACAAGTACCTATCACAAACAGAGCACAGCAAAGAGTAAATAAGGACAAAAAAAAATACAGACCGTAATACTTAATTTTAGGTAACACCATAGAGACTAGTAAATTTTGATGCTTTCCAAACACTAAATTAGGTCAAGAATAAGTGGTTCAGATTGAAATGTGGTATAGAAATAATAATGTTAATAAGGCAAAGGGCAAGAAACTAGATGGTGCAAGTTTATGGCGAATCTATAGAGGTCACTTTGTGGTCACTACTCCAAGGGAGCAGATCTCAATAGTCAGGAAGATGACAGAAAAGCGTTTTAAGTTTGACCCACAAGTGAACCCACAGTGACACAACAGGCAAGTTGGGATGAGACTGGAACAGTGGGGTAACTAGATCTGCCTCCCATCAAGTAATCCATGTTCACCCTCACTTCTATTCCCACAGGCATGAGATGATCAAACACACACAAATATACCACTTCCCTGCTGCTGCACAGCTTGAGGGAGTCCGATGCTGTCTTAGAGCACAGTTTAGGGCATTGGGTAGAAATTGAAGAGGCATGGATCTGAGTTCAATATACTAAAGCTATCCAAAAGAGCCACCAAAACAAAACAAAGGCAGTGGACATCTTGCCATGTGCTAAACATTTGACCCTGAAGTATCACCATTGTCTGAATATTATTCTAGTATAGGCTAACTATGATATTTGGAAGGGCTCTCCAGGGGTCTCCAATAGTCCTTTCCAAACTTAAGTTTTGGTTAAGTCTATTATTAAACTTTGCGTCTTCTCCATGACTACCCAGTTACTTCCAATTTCATTCTGTAGTTAATTGGCTTTTTTAAAAAAGGCAACCACAGTAGTTACATTCTTCACAATGAGCCAAAGTATCCATGCATGAAGATTGTGAAACACAGCTAGGAACTAGCTTTTTTTGTAGTCAACTGATTTATAGGTTTTAGAACTTTGCTTACTTTTGGCAAGAAGTGGATCCTGAAAGGTCATGCTGAGAACTGCAAGAACTTTAAGTGGACAAATAATAACCCCATAATGAAGCCAGTGTCTTTGTTCTCTCATTTATGCCCAGATTTGTGACCTCGGGAGCTGGAAGTACACCTTGATCTTTATGTTTATCTTGAGACAGCAGGGAAAGGATGCTGGAATGAATGAGTTTATTCTTCAGTTAGGTGGGAACAGTGGAGGTGTTTTTAAAAAGTTGTTGGGGGCTGGGGAGATGGCTCAGTCAGAGCATGAAGACCTGAGTTCAGATCCCCAGCATTCACATAAAAGCTGGATGTGGTGGTACACATCCGTAAACCTAGCACTGTGTGGAGGGAGACAGGTGGGTCTGCAGAACTTATTGGTCAGCCAGACTAGCCCAAACAGTGAGCTCCTGGTTCAGTGAGAGACTTTGTCTCAAAAAATAAGCTGGAGAGCTATAGAGGAAGACACTCAGTGTCTACCTATGACCTCTGCATACACATATACGTATATAAAAAAATATTTTTTAAGTTGATGGGAGCTGGAGAGATGGCTCCCTTGGTAAAGTGTCTGTTGCCCAAGCTTGAGAACCTGAGTTCAGATCCCCAGTCTCTACATAAAAAGTCAGGTGGTGGTGTATGCCCTTAAACCCAGGAGCGAGGAGGCAGAGACAGGTAGATCCCTGGGGCACACTGGTTGGCTAGCCTACACCAATCAGTAAGCTCTAGGTTCCAAGGATAGACTCTGTCTCAAAAAACAAGGTGGGGAACATCAGAGGTGGATCTCTGGCCTTCACATGCACACAAAACATGCACCTACACACACATTAACACATACACAACACACACATAATACAGAATAAGATACAGAGCAAAGTCTCTCCATTGTGTCAGAACCCTCACTTCATAAAATAGACTCCTCAAACTGCATGTGAAGAGCTCTGGGGGAAATTGAGTTAAACACACGCCGGAGTTAAACACATTACTAGTGTCTTAGTAAGCAAAGGCGGGCACTGGGCTCTCAGCAGCCTGTGCTCTATTCATCTAATACCTTGAAATCAGGCCTGAGCTATATGGCTCTTGGCAATGACTTTCTGTATACCACTGGCCCAAAAAGAACTGAGGAATTTTGAGGGCAAGGCCAGTTTCAGTCCCCGAACCATCTGTGTTCCCTCCCTGACCAGCCAAACAGGATCACTCAAACAAGCATAGAACACAGGCCTTTAGCGTTCAGCACACCGAAGCTGCGTTACCATACCGTGTCCTTTGAGGGCACATGGAAGCTGTTTTCGCTCGGCTTTTACAAGGTTCTCAGGGAGCCGAGCTATTTGCAGTGGGTAGGGCTGGGTCGGAGGTGGCGTGGTGGGAGGCGCAGCGGCTGTCTACGTCTGGGTTGTCCTTGGGCAGCTCCAATAAAAGAGCCATTTTCCGCTTCTCTGAGGGAGATTTGAGGACCCTGGACGCGGGGACGTGCAGGCCGGGTGCCTTTCGAACCGCAGCTGGCCAGCTGCTGGAGGAAGCCGGGGCGCCCCAGGTACCCCTGGATGCAGGCGCGCGTCGGCGATCGCCCTCTAGCGCCCAGTGGGCGGGTCGGTGGCGGGACAGAGGCGGTGACCGGGGCGGAGCTGCGTGCCAGGCGCGCGGGGGTCTCGGCACTGAGTGGGAGCGAACCGGAGCGCTGCTGCAGCCGGCGGCATGGCGAGCACCGCCTCGGAGATCATCGCCTTCATGGTTTCCATCTCCGGCTGGGTGCTGGTGTCCTCCACGCTGCCCACCGACTACTGGAAGGTGTCCACCATCGACGGCACGGTCATCACCACCGCTACCTACTGGGCCAACCTGTGGAAGACGTGCGTTACCGACTCCACCGGCGTCTCCAACTGCAAGGACTTCCCCTCCATGCTAGCGCTGGACGGTCAGCATTCCCTACGTCCCCAATCCTTACCCTTGCCCCTCGCTGGCCAGCCCGTGGGCGCGTCCTCTGGGGACCGGCGGGAGGTTGGGTCGGGATCTGCCCCTCAAAGGGTCCGCGGTGCCTGAGGTTTGCAGGTGCTGCCCTATGAGGCACTTTCTGAGTCAGTCCCCGGGACATCCCGTGTGGGAGAAGCGTAACGTGAAGTCAGGGTGGTGTAGCTCCGGGGAGTGACAAGGGTGCCCCGCTTTGTCCGTCGGGGACTGTTAGGACACCGAGTTCACTCTGCAGGGGCCGGTCAGTCCGCACGCAGCCGCAAGGAGGCACCCTTACCAGGGCCGAGATCGGCCTCAGTCCCCAGCTAAAAAAAAAAAAAAAAAAAAACAAAAAAAAAAAAACTACTGAGCCCCCTGAACACCTGCCCTGAGATCCCTTTAGTTGTTTCCTTGGTTCTCTGAAAAGCAGGCACAGAGAAGAGGAAATATACTGTTAAGTTTTTTGTTGTTTTTCTTAAAATTCTGCCTACAAACTCGACTGCTTAAGCTTTAATACCTCCTCCAAGTTTCAGGAAAGTAAATAGTCCTTGGCTCATGCAGGGGCGAAGTGGCTGCACGGTGCAGGGAATGTTGGCCAGCTTGAATGTTGTGCTGGGGACCAACAAGCTCACATCTCAGCTTCCTGTGTGCACGCTGGGTCTTTCTTGCTTGGTTCTTTTGCAGATGTGCCACAACAGATAGATACTGACGTAGTTTCCAGAGAACAATCGATATCAGCACCAACACAATGATTACTCAAGTTCTAGGCTCTTTTCTTCCAGGATTTTTCAAGTCGACTTGGATTCTGGCAGAAAGTTAAGAAGAAAGTTGTTTGTCCTACTTCTAGATTTGAGGTGTTTTCCTTTTCTTTATTATTCCTCTTGAAATTTTTATTTGCATAGCTGGGTAAATAAAAGATTTGATTCTCCTAAGACAGCGCTTGCAACAAAAAGCAAACTATTGCACAATGTGGTGTTTGATGGGACCTGGAATAAGGGTGCCTGACTTTAGAAGCATGCATCTTGTCCAGGCTCTATTGTGTGAAGTAAGCAGGCAGAACACTATTTATTCCCATGCATTATTATTGAATTTCCTGTCCTTCTCAGAGCACACATTCAACTGAGACCAACAGCTCTTGTTTCTGTGGCTTACATTCAGAAACATGGGATCCCTAGTGTACTAGAGTAGTCTGCTGTTTACAACTCTATTGTTGCCTGAAATAGCATTCCTTTTGGTGGACAAGGGAGAGGAGAGAGAAACACATGCTACTTGAAGGGTTTTAAGTACAGATTAGTGGGGTTTCCCTTTATGTGCCTGCTGTGATATGTTCCTCAGGGTTTTTAAATTAATAACATCTTTGCAAGTTGGTACAGATGGAATAACTTCTTAGCTGCTGCATAGTTAGTACTCAGTAGTCTGGATAAACTATTTACCCCATTTACCCCTTGTGGGCATTGGACCCTTTCCAACTTTTCCCTGCTATTAGCACCTTACTGAAATTCTTCCTCTTCATATGCATGTAGATTTCTGTAAACTGTTCTCCTGCCAGAACAGTAGAACACGCATTTTAATTTTCATTTTATACTGCCAAAGTGCACTCTACCAACAGTGCAAGGACAGATGCTTTGACATTTTCCTACCACTGGCATTTCCCTCTAGAATTACACATTATAGCTACGATCTATTTTCATTTTAATCTGTATATCTCTATTCCCCATCATTTTGAGCATCTTAATATGTTCATTGGCTGTTTCTTTTCTGTTTCTGTTCTTATGTCCATAGCTTTGTTTCTACCCTCCTCCTCCTCTTCCTCCTCTTCTTTCTCTTCCTCCTCCTCCTCTTTTATAAATCCTTGATTCCTTGGGACAAGCTGAGACCATTGCTTGTCTTCTGAATTTACAAAGTTCTTTTTCAAGATTGAACTTTGAAATTGGTGATATAATTACAACCATCAGTATTTTCTTTGGTGACTTCTGTGGTTTACTAGGGCATTTCCTATCACAAAAGATAAATTTTCTGTATTCCCTAGAAGGGTTAAGTCACATAGCTGTATTTTTGCATGTAGGGGAGTTGATTTCCCCTCCCTCACTGCAAGTGGAACTTTCCAAATCAGTTCCCCTTCCCTCCTTGCCTTTTTTCTGCTTTGAATTTCCAGGGAAGGAACATCTGTTGGGTGCTGGTTCTGACATTACCTTTGAAGTGAAAAGAGAAAGTCATCTTTCTGTGGGCTCCAGTGGCCACAGACCTGTCCTCCTCTTCAGCCAGGCATAGACTTTAGATTAGAGAGAAAATCCAAGAAGGGAGAAAGAAGGTTGGGAGTCCTACTATCTTATGTTAGGTGGGAAACAAGCCTCTTGGCCATGGATGGTGGGGTCATTATCAGAATTTCCTATGTGAGGTCAAAGCTCTGACTTCTCCTTCTCAGGATGTATCACTGTTATTCCAACTTTCCCTACAGGGAAAATGAGGCAAAGCAAAGTTAGTGTCTAGACTGAGTGCTACGCCATGTTGGCAGCCTTTCACATCTACTTAGAATTAATTTTAGTACTGTCGAAGGGATGCTTTGATGAGTTTCTTACTCCTTGTGCCATTCATCATGTGACTATTTCCATAGGAGGAAATGGAGACTCAGAGACAGTATAAGGTAATCAAGGGCACACTGTAGATAAATAGGACACTGGAGCTGAAATTCAATGTCCTGCCTCTCCTCATCCCCTAGTCTTTGCACAAATACACAAAGCTACTAGTATAACAAAAGCTCATTCATTCTTTCCCCTTAAATCCAGCAACTAGCTATGGTGCTGATTTGCAATAGAGAAAAGAGGTCACATTATTTAAAAGACACTTAATTTTTAAGGGATACCTTGAAGATTTTTCTCCAACAGAATTCATTAGTTCCAAGTTACTATTTGAAAATTTCACAGTTGAATGAGCTGGTGATTTATGTTTATTGCTAACCCATATTCCTTTCAAAGCACCACTTGAATTTCAGCTGAGAATCATTTTCAGCTAGGTTGTTTTTACAATATGCCATCAGTTTTTGTTAATGGGAGTGTTTTCCATTTCTTGTAAGAGAACTAAACTATAAATTATACTTCAGAGAACTTCTAAGTAAATATGTTCATGCCTCAGCACTTTAATGTATTAATTAGCTATTAACGGTGTCAGTAAATTAGACCTGTCAGAAATAATGGCCTCCTTGACTAGGCTTTTACTACGGCTTCACTCGATGGTGTTACTCAAAGTTTTGCCCTCAGGAGCTGTTCAAAAGCTAGGCTGTAGAGGTCTGCCTTGCAAAAGATAAACTCTGAAAGTTTATTGGAACTCACTTAAGGCCTGACTCTTTGGATGTTTTAAGCATGGTAACCCCCTACTTTACAAACCTCAGGATAATCAACACAACAACCTGATTCCATTCATGACTGGCAAGGGAGTTAATTTTTAGTCTTGGCTCTATATTACAGAAAACTGGCCAGCCACTGTCCTTGTGAGGTACATGCAGAAAGTTAGCAAGTTACTGGTTTCTATTCTCATGCCAGAGACAGGTGCCCTGCCGTGCACACCAGGGCTCTGGGAAGCGGGGAAGAAGAACTAGAGCTAGACCAGGTGAGAACCTGCTTGGTCCACCTTTCCTCTGGTACATGTGTCAGAGAAGGTCAGAGAGAGAAGACCTTAGAATAAGAGACTCAGAAAGAATGGTGTCTGTAGTGCAAAGACTACTGGTATTTTCCCTGTATTCTTATGGGTTGACTGGGTTGGTCTGGGAATCTAACTACTGTTTATCATGTATGAAAACACATTCCCTGTTCTAAATGACCAGAGCGTAGAACTTAACCTTTGGTAAATTCCAGACCATTTGCCTATAATAAAGCCAGTAAGATAGCTGAAATAAGTGCAGACTATGATGCATAATAAAGTTTGTAGGAATATGTGTGCATCTCTCACTTTCTAAATATATATTTATTCATAGTAGTCTTTCCTTAGCCATCATTTTTCTTTTCTGAGTTTTAAAGGCTCACGGTCAACCAAGGCCCTAAACTATTAAATGAATAATTCCAGAGAGAAGTAATTTGTAAATGTTGGATAAAATTTATTAAAGTAAGTAGTTTTAATTATTTTATTTATTTGTTTGCTTATTTATTACTGACTTTTTGAAACAGGGGCTCAGTACATAGCCCAGGCTAGCTATGAACTCATAATCCTTCCCCTACCTTGGAGTGGTAGGATTACAGGCCTGTGTCTCCCAAGCCCAGCTTTATAGTTGCTATTAATTTCTTTCTGTATTTAATTTGTAACTTTTATCATGTATTTATAGAGAAAATCCTGCATTTAGAGAGTTAATTATTTTCTGTGGTTTCATGGAAATCTTGAAACATCCCATACCGATAAAGGGTGTGTGTGTGTGTGTGTGTGTGTGTGTGTGTGTGTGTGTGTATCCTTCTACTTTTTTTGTTGTTTAATGATTGCATTTAGGGTCAACTAAATGAATTTTGCAATAATAATGAAACCATACTTACTGCCCGTAGCTTTTGTGGTGAATTGGGAGTCACTTTTGACTATCTGGCAGACTCTAGTTTTACAAGGAACAGATTAGGCTTTCTCCGTGTGCTGCCTCTGCCTGCTCTTGGACTCTGGCTAGGGGAGTTGTGGGCTGAAGATTAAGACAGCTGATTCAGTATTTGACAGTGGAGACCCAGATAGCTTTGTAGCACCATTACTGCTATCAAGAGATTGCCTCTTTCATACTGAATTGCTAAAAATGTTTTAGGAATTCTTTTGCTGTTTTTGATAGTCTGGGCATCAGTGAAATTGATTTCTGTGTGGAAAAATTCACACTATAAAACAGTGTGGCAGTCTGCATTTATGGGGCTGAAAGTACGTTGCATTTAAGTAGAACAGTTTCCATCTGCTTTTCAAAGTGGATCTTAGCAATACGTTTTGAATGCTAAATTTCATTCTTTTCCAAAGAAACATGGGGCTGGAGGTCACTGGCATTTACTCCACAAATTTATGATTATGATTGTAATAGTATTAATTACTATGGCTTGGCATATCTTGGCATGTAAGATGGTTTATCCCTCCCAATTGGAAGGCTTAATTTGCAGTGTAAACCTAATGCATGTGTGTGCTCATTTGCCTAACAAATACTTGCTTACTCTGGTATGTGTTCCTCACACTGTTTCATATTGTAATATGGCATTGTTTCAGACTGAAATGAAGTGGCTTGGATGGTAATAGTTTATTAGTTTAAATCCTGTTAATTTGGAATGAGTTGATGCCTGGTCAAAAGTCTTGCTAAAGTTTACTATCACCCTGCTACGCAAATAAAAATATGTGACAGAGAAAATGAATGGTTCAGCAGGGGACAATCTAACAAGTAACTTGTTTCAGGGTTTGTAAAGCACTCAGTTACACATAAACAGTTGATTTAATAACTGTAAACTATTCTTCCATTAAACAGTGGGTTTAAAAGCCTGACTTTATTATGTGTGCTCTAACAATAATGTAGTATCACTAAAATATTGCTTGACTTAGACTCCTCATGGTTCACGAATATATTCTGGTTTGTCTCACTTATAAACTTTCACTCATATTAGAAGATTTGACCCTTTGGAAGCTCTTGATGCCCAGTTATAAGCCTTACAATTTTATAATGTCAGACTCCCTAAAATGTATTTAGAAGGTTGATATACAAAAGAATTAGAATGTTGATGTTAGATGCCATCTCTCACACTAAGAAGTGGTAGTGCATGAATTTAATAGTCCTAGCTAGGATGGAATCCATTTCTAAAACCATTTACTAACTCACCTGTGGTAAATCATGGCACCTTTGGATATCTTAGTTTCCTTGCCAGTAAATAGAAGAACTTAAAGATTTAGCCAGAGGCTTGTACATAAACCAGACTTTAAAGTCTGACATAGAGTTGATACTTCACGTAGACTCCCTCGCTTTCCTTTCTTTCCTTGCCATGTGTTTTAACCATTGTGGGTTCCCCCAACCCCAACAGAACTAGCATCTCGAATGGCAATGTAAAGTGAGGATTTCTCTCTGGACAGACGCATGTTTTATGTTAACATAAATGACCTGCTCTAATTACAGGTTATATCCAGGCGTGTAGAGGACTTATGATTGCTGCTGTCAGCCTGGGATTTTTTGGTTCCATATTTGCACTCTTTGGAATGAAGTGTACCAAAGTTGGAGGCTCAGATAAAGCCAAAGCTAAAATTGCTTGCTTGGCTGGGATTGTGTTCATACTGTCAGGTAAATAGTAACTTTTTTTCTGAACAAGGTGCTTCATGATGTTAATGGTACAACACCGACCATACTGCTTTCCTGATGTTTTCTAGGACTGTGCTCAATGACGGGCTGTTCCCTGTATGCAAACAAAATCACAACCGAGTTCTTTGATCCTCTCTATATGGAGCAAAAGTAAGTGTTGCTTTTGGTGTATATTTCTAACTCCCAGGAAAAAATGATATAAATGAATGTCCTAGATTAGGAAACATGAATTTCCTAAATAGCTTTTGAAAATGAAATTTATGCAGCTGAGCATGGTGGTACATGCCTTTAATCCCAGCACTTGGGAGGCAGAGGCAGGCGGATCTCTGTGAGTTTGAGGCCAGCCTGGTCTACATAGTGAGTGAGTTCCAGGTTAGCTGGGGCTACAGGGAGACCTTGTCTCAAAAAAAAAAAAAAAAAAGAAAAGAAAATGAAAATAAAAATGAAATTTATTGGTAAGTGGTACAACAAATTTACAGGATATTTTGATCTTGATGCATAATGCGTTGTTACTTCATTAGCACGTAGTATCTTTAAATAGCTCAAGGCATAGGATTTAGAGCAATAAACTCATCTATTGTTCATCATAAAGTTGGAGGCAAATTCAGGAAGAGTGGGAGAGCTTTCAGATGGGAGGAAAGAATGCTGAGGTGTGAGAATAAAAAATTAAAAGCTTTGCCTTGACTGTTGTCATCTGCTGGATGCTAGTCTCTGGGTCTTGTAAATTTGTTCTGCCTTAACCAGCTGCACCTAACCAAACTTTATAAGGAAGCTATAGCCTGTGAGGTTTTAAAACAATGCTGCAGGGGCATGGCACTGATCCCCAGGTGTGGCTGCTCTTAATTGCAGGTGAATGCTTTGGGATTAACACATCTTTTTGTTTGTTGGTTATTATTTATAAGCTATGGACTATTGCTTTTTATAGTATCTCTAGGTTATTTTTTTGGATTGGAAAAATCCCAGGGACAACAAATTGAAAACATCCAACCATATACCAAAATACCATGTCTTCTTGAAAATAGGCTCACATACCTCTACAGGAAGTTGTGTGTGTACCTGTATGTCAATGGTGTGTTTATGTACCTGTGTATCTGTGGTATGTATATGTACCTGTATGTCTGTGGGGTATGTATGTACCTGTGTGTCTGTGGTGTGTCTGTGTACCTGTGTATCTGTGGTGTGTTTTGCTACCTGCCAGGCTGGTAATTTCCTTTCAGACTTGGAATAAGTACTATAAAAGGTTGATTATAAACCGGGTGTTAGGGGCTAGAGAGATGGCTCAGCAGTTAAGAGCGCTGACTGCTCTTGCACAGGACCCAGGTTCATTTTCCAGCACCTATATGGCAGTTAAAACTGTCTTAACTCTAGTTCCAGGGGATCCGATGCCCTCTTCTGACACTGGTGGGCATTGCAGGACACTGGTGCACTTACATACATGCAGGCAATATACTCATACACATTAAAAAACAAAAAAACCAGCAGGCGTGGGGGTGCGTGCATTAAATCCCACCAGCTGGGAGGCAGAGGCAGATCTCTGTGAGATCGAGGTCAGCCTGATCTACATGGTGAGTTCTAGGGCAGTTGGGGCTACAGGGAGACCCTGTCTCAAAAAAAGAAAGGAAGGAAGGAAGGAAAGGAAGGAAGGAAGGAAGGAAGGAAGGAAGGAAGGAAGGAAGGAAGGAAGGGTCGATTATAGACGTCAAGGAGGCTTAACTTTTTTCTAGCCCACTTAGACATCTTCAGAAAATTGATCTTCTAGTTCTTTCTTTAATATAGTTCATGATAAATAGGAAAAGCTGAAATATTGGTATTAACTGAAAGCGATGGCTAATATGTCATTCCTTACATATGCCAAGCAGAGCATTTCAAGGCTTATTATATCAAATTATTTCTCTAACACCTTTTGAAGTAGGTTCCCTTGGAACTCTTTTGAAATTGAGGGAAAAGGTCAAGTAATGTGTTGACAGGAACTTAGACTGAGCTAGTTAACTGACTGAGCCAGGATTCAAAGCAGGTGGTGAGATTCTACTTTAAAATGAGCCATTTCTGGGCTAGAGAGATGGCTCAGCAGTTAAGAGCACTGGCTGTTCTTGCAGAAGACCAGGGTTTGGTCCCCAGCACCGACATGGAGGCTAATATCCATCTGTAACTCCAGTTCCAGAGGATCTGACAACCTCTTCTGGCTTCCTCACACACACACATGGTACACTTATACAAGTATACAAGTATAGAAAACATTCATAAACATAAAAAAATAAGTAAAATCTGTAAAATGTACCATTTATAATTATATACATATCATTTTTGTGACTGGATGCTATACTTACTTTTCATTACAGAGCTTCTGTTTGTACATTTTAAAATAGCTTTCATGGGGCTGGAAAAATGGCTCAGCGGTTAAGAGCACTGACTGCTCTTGCAGAGGACCCAGGTTCGATTTCCAGCACCCAAATGGCGGCTACAGACCGTCCTTAACTCCAGTTCCAAGGGAATCCGAAGCCCTCTTCTGACCTCCGTGGCATTCATTGCACGACACAGGTGCACTCACATACATGCAGTCAATACACTTATACATATAAAATAAAAAGAATAAATTAAATATTTTTTTAAAAAATAGCTTTCATTCAGAAATTGTCTTAGGCCCAATATAACTTACATTCTCTGGTCTATGTCAGAAAAACATATCCTGATTTATAAATTTTCTCCTTTTTTTCTATTGTGTTTTGTTCTTTTGAGATAAGATCTATGTAGCCCAGACTAATCTCGAACCCATAATCCTCATGCCTCAGCCTCCTGAGGGCCAGGATTACAGGTTCAGCTTCTCCCAAGTATTTTTTTAGAAATATTTTATTTAATATTTTTATATTTATTTTATGTGTATGAGCTTTATGCCTGCATGTAAGTAAGTGCACCCATGTTGTGCAATGCCTGTGCAAGACAGAAGAAACTATCAGATCCCCTGGAACTGGAGTTACAGACCGTTGTTAGCTGCCATGCGGGTGCTGGGATTACCTGGGTGTTCTGCAAGAACAGTTGGTGTTCTTAACCGTTGAGCCATCTCTCCAGCCCTCTCCCAAGTATTTTTGGAAAATGAGATTGGCAGAGATGTACATGATACCAAACAAAGAGATGAAAACTGGGACTTTATTTCTGAAGACCAGAACCATTTTCATGGTATTTAAATGAAATATTAAAACTAAATGTTATATTTCTATTTCAGGGTTTATATCATAAATATGCAATACAACTATAATTCTCATGGGTTATTTTATCAAACACATTGCTAATGCTTCTGGATTCTCGTTTATGCCACTGTGTTTCTTTTTCCAAGAGTTGTTAAGGATGCCTTTGTCTGCATCTTAGAAGTTATTTGAGTCTAGGCATGGTGGCTCATGCCTGGAATCCCAGCACTGGGGAAGCTGAGGCATGGGTAAGGCCAGCCTGGGCTACACCATGAAACACTGTCTCAAACAACATCAGCAACAAAAATGATCATTTGAATCCCCTCTCAAATGGTCAAGGCACAAAAACTTAAGCCTGTCTTTGTAGGGGTACTTCCTGTGTTTGCTGTCTGCTCAGTGACTGACTTCAACTTGGAGTTCTTCAGTCTCCTATCATTTTTTTTTTTTTTTTTGTCGTTTTGAGACAGGGTCTCCCTGTGGCCCTAGCTGGCCTGGAACTCACTATGTAGATCAGGCTGGCCTCTAACACACAGAGATCCACCTATCTCTGCCCCTCAAGTGCTGGAATTAAAGGCGTGTGCTACCACGCCCAGCTTTCCTATCAGAATTTGAGTCAATGTGGTTCAGTAAATCATATACTATAAGAAATCTTTCTCATTTCTACATTGAACTATCCTATTCCATTTTGTTGGCATCTCAGCATGCCTTTGTCTGGCTCTGCCTTCTTGCGTTCTCATCTGTAAAATGGGAATGATAACAGCATCCCCTTCATAGAGTTGCTGGGCGAGTCACAAAAGTCTATGCATGAATTGTTGGTCTCTGTGTGCCTGTGTATTTGCTCTTACTGTATTACGTTATCCATTGTTCAGTGCACTATGTAGAGCTTGTTTGGTTTTCAAATAGGGTCTCACTACATCAGGCTAGCCATGAATTTACACCTTCTTGCCTCAGCCTCCCGAGTGTTAAGATTACAGGTGTGTGCTGCCATGCCCAGTTTTGTCCCCTCTTTATAGATATATTTATTAGCTCTTTTATGCAATGGCCATTAACTCCAATTCCAGGGGATCCGACAGCCTCTTCTCTCCTCCACCGGCATTGCACGACACAGGTGTACTTATCTACATGCAGGCAATACATGCATACACATAAAATAAAAATAATAAATAAAATATTTTTTAAGTCAACAAAATGATTATCAAGATTTCATCTGTTGTTTCTTTTTTAAAAAATATTTTATTATTTTTATTTTATGTGTATGAGTGTATTGCCTCCATGTATGTGAGTGCACCTGTGTTGTGCAATGCCTCAGAGATCAGAAGAGGGCTTCGGATTCCCCTGGAACTGGAGTTAAGGACAGTTCGTAACTGCCATGTGGGTGCTGGGAATTGAACCCAGGTCCTCTGCAAGAGCAGTCAGTGCTCTTAACCACTGAGCCATCCCTCCAGCCCCTCATCTGTTGTTTCTTATCACCACATTCTCAGAGAAGCAAGGGGGATAGAGATTTTGAAAACCAATAAGTTACAAATTAGTTCCCAACATAGAATTAAATTGGTTTCATAGATCTTGAAAAGTATTTTCTAGAATTTAATAATTGGTGTCTGATTTCTAAGTTCATTGGTGCTTGAACTTAAAGCAGAATGTGTGTGCAAGTCACAGCCAATCGTTCCTCCAACCCCAAGTGAGCAGATATGTGGAGAATGCAGCCATAGGAAGGTTCCAGCTATTTCTTTGGTGCCTTACTAGACTGGCACAAGAATTAAGTAACTTCAGAATGCATTTCAACTTTTTGTCTAGCACAGTGCCTGAAGGTGACATTGGTACTGCAGAGGGGGCTCCTTTCAGGATTGTGGTCCTTTCTGCTGTCTTAGCAGTCTGTGGGGGCAAAATAGTCAGAGGTGTATCATGCTCCTCTGCATTAATGACATCATTACTCTATAAATAGCTATTGCCAAAGGTCTTTTCCCCCTG